CGCCACCACCCCAGCGCCGGCCGCAGGGGACCCACCGTGGGGGCGGGGGAGAGGCTGAAGCAGGCCGGGAGCCCGCTGCTGACCGAGTGTCTGGCCTCAAATTACACCGGCTCAGAGCTTGGGCACAAAATTAGCAGCGGTGTGGTGTGTGCGAGGAGCCAAAGAAACAGCCGGATTCAGCAGAACCCCCGGCGGGCTGGCGGGCGGGCGCGCGGGGGGGGGGGGGGCGGGGCTGGGACCTCTGCGGGGGTGGATTTGGCTGCCGGGGTGGGGCGGGGCTGAGTCAGGGCCACGGGGGGTCTTTGAGACCCGGAGCCCCCTCGCCCCTCGAAGGTGGACTTGAGGCCAGTGATGTCGTAGTCTGCGGTCAGCCACCCAGGACACCAATCCAAGGACAAGAAGTTGTCCGGGCCCTGTCCTGCGGCTCCCACTGTCGCCCGCGGCTCCCACCTGCTGGCGCGGGGCTCCGGACCTGGGAGATGGAGCTGCTCCAGGCGCCGGGTCTGCAGAGCCGGCCTGCGGCGCACGGGCTGCGGGTTTGGTGCGTGAGCTCACGAGGCGGCCCCCCAGACTCACCCAGGTCACACTGCCTGTGTGCAAGGCGCCATGCGGGCCTGTGCGCTGGCCCGGCGCCCGTGTCCCCTGCCCCACTCGAGGCCTGGGCAAGCCCCCTCCCGCCGCCCCCGCCCCCGGCTCCCACAGTAGAAACACAACTTGCACAACCGGCTCCCGGCGGCGGCGGCCGGCTGCGCAGGGGCGCTCAAACCGATCCCTGTGCCCTGACGGCCGCCATCACTCTTGGATTTGCCCATGGGCTGGGGCTGGCCACAGCCCCTCTGGCAGCCTCTCTCTTAGCAACGGCCGGCCACGCGTCCCTCTCGTCTCTGGGACCTTTGCGGGTGACATACTCACACCTGGATAGGACGGGCCAGTCTCCTCTGCCACCTGCCACCCTGCCCCTGATCCAGCCCCTTGTCGGCGGGTGGCGGGTGGCAGGCGGTGGGTGGCGGGTGGCGGGTGGCGGGTTGCGGGCCATCCTTACTGGGTCTCTCTCCCTTGTTCTGGCTTCTCCAGCTCTGCTCTCCAAGGAAATCAGCAGACAACTGGAGGCGCACATCAAGGGCCTGGGGCAAGCATCTTGGAACATTCTAGAAAGGAGGCTGGGGAAGAAAGGAGGTGGGAGGGGGCATGCGACCAGGCTTGTAGCATGAGGGCCTGTGGGTTGGCAGCCCCGTGGAGAGGATTGACAGGTGCAGGGGCGCAGGTGTGAGGGGTCCGGAGCACTTGCTAACCGTCACACTCTAGTAAGAAAGAGGCTGGGGAACTGAGGAGGCTTCCTGGAAGAGGAGGCATTCTGGGCTGGGCCTCAGGGACAACAGGCGAGGTGCAGGCCAGCACTGCAGGCCCAGGGAATGGCTTGAGCAAAGCTTAGGTTGGGTTTAAGGGACCGGAGGGGGCGTGGCCTGCCCGGGAGCAGGTGCGGTGGGTCTTCCTCCTGATCCGGGCAGAGGCGCAGAGAAAGTCCCCGAAGCCCGCGAGCAGGAGGTGGGGCACTTCTCCCAGACGCTGGGCCCCGGGGCGGTGCAGCAAGAGGAAGTGTGGGCCTGGGGGTGGAGCCTCCTGCAGGTCCAGAGAGGCAGGGGCGTGGCCTCCCCACTGGGGCTCCTGGGGACTCCCGGGGCGCAGGTGACTGGGGGAGGTGAGAGGTGAACTCCGCCCAGGCCCGGGCGGGCGAGAGCCTGTGCACCCCGGCTCCCCTGACCAGCGACGGCCATGGCCCTGGTGCAGCAGCTGCGGGCGGAGAGGTGAGTGCGGGGTGCCCCGCCCCCAGGCCTTGGGGGACAGCAGAGCCCAGCTCGGCACAGCCGCTGTGAGCGGTCAGACTTGAGTCAGACTCGATACTCAGAAACGCAGGCTCTTGGAACCGCTTTGCGGAAGCTTCCACTTGTGGCTCACCTCCCCTGGCACAAAGGCGAACGCCCAGGCTCAGGGCGGCTGTGACCTGTCCCTGGGGGGGGGGGGTCACAGGATGCGTGGGCGGCATCCAGAGGGGGGACGCGGGTGTCCTGGCTCCTGGGCTGGGCTTTTAGTTCCACACTGCGGTCCCATCAAACAGAAGCAGAACTCGGCTGGTTCTCCATCTTGATTGAGAGCTTGGCTCAAATGTCACCTCCTCCAAGAAGCCTGCCAGGACTGCCCACTGCTGTCTGACCCCTTGCCCTGTCTCCGTTGAGCACGGGCATAGCAGTCAGTGTATATTCACGCTTCCTCTTCCTCTTCCTCCTCCACACGCCTTTGAGTTTCTGCTCTGAGCACTGCTGACCCAGAGTGCACGCACAGCACCACCGCACACCACATGCCCGACAGTGCTGCAGAGTGAACTGACGGTTGGGTCTGTGAGCTCGCTCCAGAATGTTCTAGAGCCTTCTACTCCAGCCCTGCCATCCCACAGATGGGAAGATGCAGGCCCAGGGGGGACAAAGGACTCCCTCGGCGCCACCTGCCAGGCTCCAGCCCGCCCCCACCCCCCCCCCCCCAGCTGGCCTGCCGCGCTGACCCAGGCTTCCGGAAGCAGCAGCTGCTGGGGGCCTGGGGCGCTTCCTGCTTCTAGGGGCGCAGAGGTCACGAGGCCGCCAGCCCCAGCTGCAAGGCCCACGCCCTCGCCGCGTCTCCCGCCCCTCTTCAGCTGCCTGGGACCCTGTCGGGGGCTCGGAGCCAGCTCTTGGGGCCGCGTGGCCCCCAGCCCTCCAGTGCCTGGGCGGAGAGCTGGCCTGGGGTCGGGTCAGCTCATCCAGTGGACTCCCGAGCCCGGGGCCAGGTGTCCAAAGATGGCCAGGGCTGCAGCGGGGGTCGCGTGGGGGCCTGGGCGGGGTCTACGAGGGTGTGGCTACTGGGGGGGGCATGGCCAGCCAGGCCACTGTCACGCAGAGCCCTGCAGGGGACTTGCTCACGGCCCCCTGGGAGCGCCTACTGCTCGCCTGGTTCTGCTCAGCTGCTGTCTGCCTCGGGGGGATTTCAGGGCTGTGCTTACTCCCGAGGGACCCCCAGGACACCCCCCCCCAAAACTCTCGAGGCCACTTCTGCTGTCCTTGTAGCAGGTCGGGAGCAGCCAGAGCACAGACAGGAATCTGCCCCAGGTCCCTGCTGGCCGTGGCCTCCATTGACCTCTCGCTCTGTCTGCCTGTTTAGCCCCCGCCTCCGCCCCCACCAGCCCAGGGAGAAGTCAGGGTGCCCCCATGAGGCACCAAGACGGCCCTGCTCTGCTTCCTGGGATTCCTTGAACTCACCTCTTGCACTTCCTGCCTGCAAGGTCTTTCCAACTTCTGGCCACCTCCTCTCAGAGGATGCACTGCTTCTTCCAGGAAGCCCTCCCTGACCACCCCAGCCTGCGCAAGTCCCGCTGCCCTCTGACGGTGCGGACCCCGTCCCCGCAGCCTCGCCATTCTGCTCTCCCTTTGGAGCACAGGTGGCTGTTTGTGTTAAGGAATGATTGACGTGATGTCCGGCTCCTTCACTCCTCCGTGGAGCCGGGAGATCCCACGAGGCAGAGCCAGGTCCTGGCGTGTGTGGCCTGCAGTCGGTGCACGTGGGCTTTGCTGATCATTGAGAGCTCTGAGGGGCTGCATGGGGCACACAGAGAGCTGCCACGAGGCCCGGAAGAGGCTCCCGGCTCACCTGGGTACATCAGCGCCCCTCTCGTCCCTGGGCGTCCTCATCTGTCAGAGGGGCATGGCCGGGAAGCACACTTGGCGCCCAGCGTGTGCCCGGGGCGGGCTCAGCCAGCGTTGGTATTTCTCAACCTGCCCCCTCGGGGCCACTTGGGCCCCCTGGCTCCTTCCTGTGCCAACCTCATGACTTTGCCTCTGGGGTGGGGGGGGAGGGTCCCGGCGGGGGGATGCGTGTGCAGAGAGGGGGAAGCTGCCAGCCGCCGTTCCCTCTGCCCACCCACTGCTGGCCCGCACTGGCCCCAGCCCGGCAGCAGCCGCCTGAGTTCCGACCCTGGGCACCCTGGGTCCCGTGGGGGCTCCCGAGGTCCCCATGGGCGCAGAGGCCTGGGCCACGGCGGGCTCGGCAGCCCGGTTTCCCAGCGGCTGCACTGGAAGTGTCGTGGTTCCCTCCTCTGTCTACAAGTGGTCAGACTCGGGGCCCCCGGGTTGGCCTCTCTCTCTCCTTAGCTCTGTTTTCGCTTCCTCCCTCGGCACCTCCCCCTCTGCCCCGGGGCTCTTAGCCATAAGCCACGAGCAGGTGGCCCTGCCTTGCTCAGGCCTGCCCAGCTGAGACCCTGCCCCTCCCCCCCACCCCCTGCAGGCACGCAGCACCCACACCCTGCTGCTGGTCACTTCGGAGCAGCTTGCTGATTGGTCGGTGCTGTGTTTGCTGGAGATGCAGGGCCAGCAGACTGAGAGGGGCTTGGACACGCACAGGGGCTCAGGCAAAGCTGCCTCGGCTCCGTGCTGTCACGACCAGCACCCCAGAGTCTCCATGGATCTACCTTACATTTTTGCCTCATGGATGTAACGTGGCTGCTGCAGGTCCACATGTCACGCCTGCTTTCAAAGGAGGAGACAATGCCAGCTTTGTCCATTGCCCTGGGAAGGCCCTGGTGCCAGATGGCCTCCAGGTCTCAGTGGCCAGAGCTAGTCACGTGACTTCTGTAAGCTGCAAGGGAGGCTGGGTAACAGCAAACAGAATTGGTGTGGCTGGCTCAGCCCCATCGTGACCTCGCAGTGCGGGCCGGGCACATGGCCATCACGGACCAAATTGGCACTCGGTGAGCCGGGAAGGAGCAGGGGATGGGGCAGATGCTAAAGCACTGTCGGGCAAGGGCGGCGTCCCCCATGTCTGCCCCTCGTCCCGTCGGCGCCCCTCTCGTCCCCGTCTAAGGCTTCATCGCTCTCGGTTGGACCCCTTGGGGCCCCCAATGCTGCCTGCACGTTCCCTGCCCGCCTCGCCTCTGCGCACGGCTGCTGAGTCGGCCTTGTCCAGCCTCCCACAGCCCTGGCTGGCGCCCCGTTACCCAGCACCGAGCCCCTCCCCAGGCCGGCTCACCTGCCCGCCCAGCCTCAGAGCTCGCTGTGCACCTGCCACGCTGTACACACCACACATGCCACACACATGCCACACACGCCACGCACCTGCCATGCCACACACACCGGCCCCACTGCCCCCCCTTCCTGCCAGGCTGGCTCCTCTGCCACCTGCCAGACTTGCCTGGAAGTCCCCTCCTCCTGGGCTTTTCCCCGACCTGGGCGGTCCATTCTCCGTGGGCCTCACCCGGGCCTCGGTGCAGGGCGGGTGGGGACTTGGTTGACCTCCGTGTCCCCAGCTGCAGACCAGGGCCTGGCCGGGGGGAGACTCCTGGCAGAGTCAGTGCGGGTGCCGCGGTTGTCACGTGCAGCCCCCATGCCCCGGTCCCTTCCCTACAAGGTCCGCTGGGCGCCTTCTCGTGTCCACATGCCCGGGGCTGGCGGGCGGGCCTGGCGCGAGCAGGGGTGCGAGGAAGGGCGCAGCCAGCGGTCCCCGGCACACGCCAAGGCAGTGACTGGGACTTCCACCCGGGGCCTCCCGCAGCGACTTCGAACAGCTTCCGGATGACGTCGCCGTCTCTGCCAACATCGCCGACATCGAGGAGAAGAGGGGCTTCACCAGCCACTTTGTAAGAGACCCTGCGACCTGGGAACCTTCACCTCTAACCTCTGAACTCTCACCCCTGAACCTTCACCCTCCCTCCTCCGAATGTCCAGCTCTCTCGTCTCTTACCTGGCGACCCCCAGAGATGATTCAATGATTGCATCTGGGGGCAGGGCTGCCGCTGTCACCCAGGAGGCACAGCCCAGGGCCACCGCCTGCCATGCCATGGCGCCTGGGACAGACCCATCCGTCCACACCCAGCATAGAATTACCTGGCCCCACCTGGCACCGTGGCTGAGACAGGATCGGCACCTGCCCCTGGCCTCTGAGCCCGGCCCCCACGCTCCTGAGCCCCTCCTCCCACCTCTGTCCCCAGGTTTTTGTCATCGAGGTGAAGACGAAAGGGGGCTGCAAGTACCTCATCTACCGCCGCTACCGCCAGTTCCACGCCCTGCAGAGCAGGCTGGAGGAGCGCTTCGGGCCCGACGGCAAGGGCGGCGCCCCCACCTGCAGCCTGCCCACGCTCCCAGGTGGGCGCCCGCCCGGCCGGGCCTCTCCCTCCAGCTCCGCCCACACTGTCTTCAACCCCACGGCCCCTCCCCTACCACCTCTCCTGGGACACGCCCCCCTCCACCTGCAGCACCCGGGCCTTGTAGCCTTGACCTCCAAAGACCCCCTAGGGAATGGCGCTCCACCGCCCACCACCCAGGAGGCCACAGTTTGGAGGGGGCAGCGGGGACGGGACCAGCGGGGTGTCCCTCTTCAACTGTCCCCTCCCCTCCACCTCCTTCCAGGGAAGTAGCTCTGTGACTCCCACCAGTCCCCTGTGGCTCTCCTCCCTCCCTCACCCATGCCTGCCTCCTGCCTGTGTCCTAACGTGCACCTTGGACAGCTCCGATCCCGCCCATGGCCTGCCACGGGTGGGTTATGCTGCGGTGCCCATGGCGCCCTCCTCGCCCTATAGGGTGGGACCCAGGGGATGTTATGCACCTGTCCCTGCACGTCAGAGGCCCCACCAAGCTCCTTTCTCCAAGCTCCCTTGCTTTCTCTCTTCTTCCTCCCCATCTGCTCCGCTGGCCGGGGCCCTGAGCTGTGGGGAGGAGGCGTCTCTGGGCTCTGGTCCATGCCCGCCCCCTCTCCTTGGCCGCTGCCCAGGCTCCAAGCAGCCTCCCCGGCCTCCATGGGCCCAGAGCCCGCAGAGAGCTCTTTTCTTCCTGCGACAAGAAGTTAGCCACCACCCTCCGGGCTCGGCTCTCCCTGCTCTGCCGCGGGGCCGCTGGCTGCGGAGGGCTGTGAGCTGTCAGCTCTGGCTTCCCTGGGCTGCCTTCTCCCCTCCTTCCCTCCTGCCACCTGCTGCGTGCCGCGTCCCCTCCGCCACAGTCCTGTGTCTTCTCGCTCCCCATTCTCACCCAGGCGAGCTGTCACTGTGCCTGTGACTTTAATGCCACCTTCTTGCCACAGAATCCCGAGAGCCAGGCTCCAGCCTGGGCGCTTCCTAGCTGCCCCCCACCCCGACCACCACTGGACACCGTGGGGCTCTCTGAGGGCTTGGCCCCTGGAGGAGGCTCCCGGACGGGACACCTGACTCTTGCTGGCCGCCGCTGTCTCCCTCGCCCAGAGCCCCTGCCTTGCTTTTGAGAAAGGAGCCACTCATCTACCCCGCGTCTTCACTTATCTGGGCGTCTCTGGTCCCCCGCTCCTGACCTTGGTGGCTTAGCGGAAGTGTCTGGCAGTCTTAAGGGGTCTTCACACCCTTCCACCCCCGCCCCCGGAGATTCCGATGTAACCCATCTGGGGCGAGTGCTGCACAGTCTTTGTAACCGGAACGTGCAGCCAGGGCTGGGTGGTGGGGACACGGCTGTGAGCCGGGTCCGTGTCCTGTTCTGTGGGAACTCAGAATCCAGAGTGTGTACGTGTGAGTGTGAGCGTGCATGTGAGTGAGCATGTGTGTGAAACTGCATGTGAGTGTGTGAGTGAGCGTGCATGTGTGTGTGCATGTGTGTGAGCATGTGTGTGTGCATGTGTGTGTGACTGCATGTGAGTGTGCATGTGTATGAGTGTGACTGAACATGTATGTGTGCATGTGAGTATGTGATCACGTGTGACTGTGTGTTTGAGTGTGAGTGTGTGTGTACATGTGTGAGTGAGCATGTGAATGAGTGTGTGTGAGACTTGTGTGTGTGCATGCGTGTATATGTGTGAGCATGTATATGAGTGAATGCACCTGGAAGTGCAAGTGTATGTGTGTTCATGTGTGTATGTGTGAGTGCACGCACTTATGTGTACATGCACTTGTGAATGTGTACATGTGTGTTCACGAGTGTGCACATGTGTGCATGCACTCCTGTGTACATGTGTGTTCATGAATGTGCACGCGTGTGCCTGCGTGTCTGTGTATGTGAGTGTTGCATGCACTCATGTGTGTATATGTGTGTGTTCATGAGTGTGCATGTGTGTAACTGACTTCGTGTCTGTGCGTGTGCGTGTGTTGTGTGTGCGTAGAACAGACAGCAGCTGATGCTGGCGTCCTTCCCGGACACAGGCCGGTGGTCAGGACGGTGCCTATGCGGTGCCTTTGGGAGGCCGCAGCCCCACACTGCGCGGGCCTGGTTCTGACAACCTTTGCCGCTCCGCAGCCAAAGTCTACGTGGGTGTGAAGCAGGAGATTGCGGAGATGCGGATCCCCGCCCTCAACGCCTACATGAAGGTACGGGGGCTCAGGAGGCCCAGGCCAGGGGCGGGGCTCCGCATCACCCCTGGGATGCCCACGGCCTTGGTTGCTGGGCCTGGGAAGGGCAACAGACCTGGCGTCTCGGGGCTCTGGAGGTTGGGGCAGGGACAGGAGCCACATGGTAGCCGCAAGACTGCGCCGGGCGTCAGTCCATCCTGTGCCTGCCCACAGCCTGGGACACCCTGAGCTCACACAGAGGCACACAGAGGCACAGCCGTGCCTACGTAACCAGGGGCACAGCTGGCCAGGCCACGCCCGCTCCCTCAGGGCCTCTGTGCAAGCTGGAGGGAGGGTCCCCTCTGGGCCGGCGGCCACCTCAGCCGAGCACAGGTGGGGTTTTCACCGCCCTGTGTGCGTCCTGTGAGATGGGACAGAGGGGAGGAGCAGAGGCCGAGGCCATGGTGCTCAGGAGAGGAATGCCACCCATCAGGGCCACCAGGAAAGGCCCGAGGCGGTGAGCACCCCGTCGCTGGGGGCATACAAGCCGCGGCTTGGGAGCGCCCTCCTCCGAGCCCAGAGGTATCTTCGGAGATAGGGTTTCTCGGGCGCTCCCCAGCCTGCTGCCGCTGGGTGCCCCAGCTCTGCCACCTTGGGCAGCTGCCCCCGCCTCTCTGATCCTAACTTGCAGGTGACTGAGGTCAGGTGAGGTCACCCACGTGGCACTCGGTGCCCGCCTGGCGCACGGGCCGCCGGCTCCCCCGGTGATGGTGACCTGGGGCCGGGAGCAGAGCATCTGGACAGTCAGCTTCAGCCTGCGGAGTGGCTTCCTGTTCTTTTTTAAAGATTTATTCATTTATTTGAAAGGCAGAATTACCGAGAGGGAAATCCGTCCATTGGGTCACTCCCCAAATAGCCACAATGACCTGGCCTGGACCAGGCTGAAGCCAGCAGCCAGGAGCTTCCTCCAGGTCTCCCACATGGGTGCAGGGGCCCAAGGACTGAGCTGTCCTCTGCTGCTTTTCCCGGGTGCATTAGCAGGGAGCTGGATGGGAAGTGGAGCAGCCGGGATTCAAACCGGTGCCCATATGGGATGCTGGCGGCACTGTAGGTGGCAGCTTGACCCGCTGTGCCACAGTGCTGGCTCCCAGGGGCTTTTCTTCTAATAACTTGCTTCTGTTACTAGGCCTGGGCTGCATTAGTAGAAGGGGGAGGGCTAACCTCGGAGGGTGGGGATGTCCAGCTCCTCCCACTGACCACCCCGCCCCACTCTACCCCCCTCACCCTGCAGCACCTGCTCAGCCTGCCGGTCTGGGTGCTCATGGACCCCGACGTCCGGATCTTCTTCTACCAGTCGGCCTACGACTCGGAGCAGGTGCCACAGGCGCTCCGCCGGCTCCGCCCACGCACCCGCAAAGTGTGAGTGCCTGGGGCTGGGCTCCGGCTGCACAGGCGTCTCCCCACTTCCTGGAAGGAAGAGCAGGAGGGTGGGCGAGTTCCACCCCACCCCCACCCCATCCCTGGGCCCTCCAGGTGCCTGGTCTTAGTAGATGGCTTTGGGAACCAAGCCCAGGGCCTGAGAGACAGGCAGCAGGGGCTCCGGGCGTGAGAGAGTGAACGCTGAGGGTGGAGACCGGGCCTTCACCCAGGAGGGCTGGTGCCCCAGCAGCCACGGGGGACGGCCTGGAGCTCTGGGTGCCTGGGAAGAGAGGGGCGAGGAAGGAAGAGGGGCCTCCCCGATGAGTGTCCCTCCGAGAGCCCCCTGGTTTGTTTTAGCTCCTGGGGCCCCACTGGGGCTCCGACTGGGTCCCCTGCTGCCCCCTTCCTCCCAGGAGCCCCCCAGTCCTGTGCAGCCCCCCTCCCCCAAGCACAAAATCACCGCCCAAAATCCAAGCCACTGAGATAGCACAGGGCTGCCAAAGCCAAGGTCAAGTGGCTACGAGTCCAGGACAAGCAGGGGAGAGGTGTCCCGGAGCCCCGGACTCCCTCTCGTCTGCCCCGACCTCCAGCCTCTGCTCCCTGCTCTGTGAGAGGAGCCAGGTCATGGGGGGGGGGGCCTGGGCTGCATCTTCACGTCGCAGTCCCAGCCTTTCCCGCCCCTGCAGGGAGCTCACGGGCCCCTCCCCCCCCTCTCTCTCTGCAGCAAGAGCGTGTCCCCGCAAGGCGGCGGCGTGGACCGCCTGGAAGCTCCCCGAGCAGAGGTACCCCATCGCCCACCCTGACACCAGGGAGCCCCGCCCCAGCTGGGGGGTGACCTACCTGTCTGTCCACCTGCTCGCCCAGAGAGTCTGTGGCTTCCTCTGGGCCAGGCCTGCCTCAGGCCCTGTCCTCCGGGAGCTCACGGACGCGGGGGACGAGGCGGTGGGCAGCGCCCTGGTGGAGAGCGCCGGGGGTCTGGGAGTCCTGGGGACGCTTCGCCCCGTGTGCTCCTCCCGCTGGTTCTGGAAGGAGGGACACCTGGAGTCCAGTCCCAGCTCCTGCACTAACAAACGGGCCGGCCCCGGACAAGGCCTCAGAGAGCCTCAGTTCGCTCCTGTGCAGAACGGGACAGCAGAGAACAGGAAAGCAGTCAGCAGGGACGTAGGCCTCCGCGAGTGCCGCCTCCTCCCTCCCGCCCCACTCCGCCCCTCCCCTACCCTCCCCCAGGCCCTGTTCGACTTCACTGGGAACAGCAAACTGGAGCTGACTTTCAAGGCTGGAGATGTCATCTTCCTGCTCAGTCGGATCAACAAGGACTGGCTGGAGGTGAGACGGGGTGAGGATGGAGGTGAGGATGGGGTGAGGATGGAGGTGAGGATGGAGGTGAGGGTGGAGGTGAGGATGGGGTGAAGATGGGGTGAGGATGGGTTGATGTTGGAGGTGAGGAGGGATGATGTTGGAGGTGAGTTTGGAGGTGAGTTTGGAAGTGAGGAGGGGTGAGGTTGGAGGTGATGTTGGAGGTGAGTTTGGAAGTGAGCAGAGGTGAGGTTGGAGGTGATGTTGGGGTGAGTTAGGAGGTGAGGGTGGACATGAGGAGGGGTGAGGTTGGAGGTGATGTTGGAGGTGAGTTTGGAGGTGAGTTTGGAAGTGAGCAGGGGTGAGGCTGGAGGTGATGTTGGGGTGAGTTTGGAAATGAGGAGGGGTGAGGCTGGAGGTGATGTTGGGGTGAGTTAGGAGGTGAGGGTGGACATGAGGAGGGGCAAGTTGGGTGAGATTGCTGCATGTGTGCTGGGCAGGCAGACTGCGGGCTCAGGGAAGGCCATGTGAGGATAGTCCTGGAGCTGCAGGCAGGAGTGGGGAACCTGACGGAACCCAGGCACCGGGGAGACAGGTGTAACTGCCACAGAACTTTCCAGAATCCCAGAGCCTGCCTTTGGGTCTGACCTCAAAAAATGGGTTGCTTCGGGGAGGTGAGCTAAACCACTGCGGCTCATGTCTCGGTCTGTAGCCAGGCTTCTGCACAGCGGCGTTACTGCCGTTTGGGGCTGCACAATTCCTTGTTGTGGGGCTGCCCTGGGCATTGGAAAGTGTGTGGCAACGTCCCTGGCTCCCCACTCGATGCCACAGCACCCCCAGCTGCAGCGGTCCCATGGGGCTCTAGACACCTGCTCCTGGCCACCGAGTCACCCTGGGTGGGAGCCGCTGGTCTAACAGGGGACGACATCGCTCACCTTCCGGGGCCAGCGAATGGCCCTCAGGGGCAGCCTGTGCTCTGGCGTCTGCCGCCAGCCCCGTTCCTCCCAGCTGTATGCACCCTCGGAACCTTGCTCAGTGCCACCGTCTCCCTGTCTCTCAGGGAGACGCGCAGCCAGCCCGTGCGCGGGCTTCCTGGAAGGGTTCCGGAGACGGCAGGTGTGCAGGGCAGGAAGGGCCCCTGGGGTGCAGAGGCTGGAGGGGCGGCTGGGACAGATCCGCGGACTCCCCTGTCCTGGCACAGTCTTGGGAAGGCAGCTGCTCTCACAGACGCCGCGGGGTAGCTCGGGGCCGTTGTCCAGGTCCGAGAAGCGGTGATGCCCCTGTTTTCTGGAAAGGCCCATGTGTAGGGGTGGCCTCGGCTTGAAGGAGGGGCGGGGAGCAGGGCAGGGCTGCTTGGCGCCTGGGTGAATGCGCCTGTGGAGTGGCCCATCGAGAGTCTTCTGTTGAGCTCCAGTGAAGACAGAGTGAGCAGGTGCACAAGGCCCAGGGCGGCCTGGGGTCCGACAGAGGTGGCATCTGGCCCTGCGGCCTGGAGTGCGGGCTGGGGGCTGCCTGAGGATGAACGGAAATCACCAGCACCCCTCCCCTGCTCCCCTCCCCTCCCCGTACTGTTTCCGGATCACCCATGCTGCACCTGCCACCCTCCTCGCAATGAGTGTTTCGGGAGGACAAGGGCGATTTTCTCTTCTGACTGTCCTGAGCCTGTCGGGTTCAAGAGGCCTTTGTTGAATGAATGAGTGAATGAGTGAATGAATGATTGAAATGAAAGCAGCTTTCCGGAGATTCAGATCTTGACCCGTCCCAGACAGAAACGGGTCTTGGGTGGACTTGTGGTTTTTGCTTTCTGCAGGGGGCGCCTGTGCCCCATCTGCACCCGCTATCCCCCTCCCCCTGCACCCTTGTAAAAGGGCGGGGGCTCTGGGGCCCAGCTCAGCCCTGCCCCCTCTGCTCCTGCGCGCTGGGCAGCCCCCTCCTTCCTCCTCAGGGCACTCTCCGCGGAGCCACGGGCATCTTCCCCTTCTCCTTCGTGAAGATCATCAAGGACTTCCCGGAGGAAGATGACCCCACCAACTGGCTTCGCTGCTACTACTATGAAGACACAGTCAGCACCATCATCAAGTGCGTGGCCCGCCAGGGGAGGAGGAAGGGGCCTGTCCGCCCTTCTCGTCCCTACCACCCCCAGCCCCCAGGCCACACTCCCACGTTGGTCCACCCTCACTCTGAGCCTGCAGTGGCTCCCGATGCCTTCTAGTTGGGCCACGGCACTGTCTCAGGATGCCAGGGCTCAACCTCAACCCCAGGCCCCACCGCCCTTTGCCCCACTTCCAGCCTTACGCCCCCTCACCCCTGCCTGTCCCCACTCAGGGACATCGCGGTGGAGGAAGACCTCAGCAGCACTCCGCTGTTCAAGGACCTGCTGGAGCTCATGAGGTGAGAGGATGAGGAGGCGGGGTCTGCCAGGAGGGGTGCCTGGGGTGCCAGGAGGGGTGCCAGGCACCTGGAGGAGGGAGAGGCAGAGGGGAGGCATGTTAAGGGTGGCTGCTTTGTACCTGTTTGCTGTCACTGTATCCACAGCCCAGCCCTGAGGTTCATGGTCACCACCCCATGTTGGAGACAAGCCAGAGGGGTGGGGGCACAGGGCAGAGTGACTTGGCTGAGGTCACACAGCTTGCAGTTAGAAGTAGCCTGTCACCCTTGGACTTGCACCTGCCACCACCAGGGAGCTTCCCACCTCCTGAGCCCAGGTCTGGGTTGTAAGGCGTTTTATAAAGCAGTGGCATAGGCACTGTGTTTCTGACCATGAAAGTCGGCTTGGGCATCTATAACCCAGACCTCAGGACCTGACCCCACCCGTGGAAAAGCCCCCACCTGGCCTCCCGGGATGGGTTGCCATGGAAACGCAGATGCACTAAAACAGTGTGTCCAGCAATGTCCAGGCTGCATGTCCGGGGGTCCTGCAGACAGCTCCTGGGGACATGGGCTTCCGCGGTCAGTTCATTTTGGTGCAGATGTTTTTGTTTTTGTTTTTTAATCCGTGCATAGTTTTTTCCCATAGTCTGCATTTTCCAGGAACCCGTCAGAAGCCCTGTGGAGCGGGTGTGTAGGAGACATAAACGAGTTTAGACATGGGTCCCAGCCCCCAGATCGCTTGTTCTGCATACGCAGATATTCCCAAACCACAAAAAACCCGAAACCCGAGTACCTCTGCTCCCGGGCATTTCGGATGAGGGGTACTCGAGCCTCAAGACCCACTCATCATTGAAAGAAGAGCGTCAGTTGATGGAGCCGTGCGAGCCATGACGTCATCTCCTGCTTGGGCGTCTCTGGTCATCTGACGCGCATGCCGTGTGCGTGCGTGTCGTGGGTGCTGTGTGCAGATGTGTGTGTGCAGACGAATGCCCGTCTCGCACACTAGCAGCAGTCGTGCTTACCGGGTGCCTCGCACTCGCCTCGCACACGTGTCCCTCTGGGGCTTTATTCTGCTTCTCGTACCCAGCCAAGCCCACTTTTCTGAACTACAATGGTTGTTGGAAGTTTTGAAAAATTAATTAATTTATTTGGGAGGCAGAGAGAGAGAGAGAGCGAGCGCTCCCCCATGCAGTGATTCACTCCCCCAGGAGCAAGGAGCCAGATCTGGGTCTCCCTTGTGGGTGGCAGGGTCTCCAAGTACTTGAGCCATCACCTGCTGCCTCCCAGGGTGCATGTGAGCAGGAAGCCGCACTCAGGAGCGGAGCTGGGACTTGAACCCGGGCCCTGCAGCGTGGAACAGGAGCTCCTGAGCAGCATTTTAACCGTTTCGGGCTGTGCCGCTGGTTTCCTGCGCGAATCCCTTCTCCCACTGGGGCCTCGGTTTCCCCATTTGCATGATGGGAGGTGGGCCTGGCTGGACAAGCCGCATATGTGTCGACCTCTGACCTCTGATCTCTGATTCGGAGCTCCAGGCCGTTAGGCGCAGGGCCCCCGGCTGGTCTCCTGCGGCCCGGGATTAACCCTGACCTTCTCATCCCAGGCGGGAGTTCCAGAGAGAGGACATCGCCCTCAACTACCGGGACGCGCAGGGGGACCTGGTCCGGCTGCTCTCCGACGAGGACGTGGGGCTCATGGTGAGGCAGGCGCGAGGCCTCCCCTCCCAGAAGCGCCTCTTCCCCTGGAAGCTGCACGTCACCCAGAAAGACAACTACAGTGTGTACAACACAGCGCCCTGAGCAGGTGGCCCCGGGCCCCTGGCGGGCGCCTGGGGGCCTCAGGGGAGCTGAGGGCCAGGGAAGGCGAGGGGATGGCACAGACGTCCCGGGTCCGAGGCCGGAGCCCCCACTGCGCTTGGCTTGTGCTCCGTTTCTGTTCTTCTCTCTGCATTAAATAAACCGTTCCCTCGCAAAGGGAGTCGGGTGCCACTGGGGCCACTTATACCTGGCAGGTGGCCAGGGTGTGGGTCTTGAACGCAGCCGCCCACTCCCTGGCCACGTCCATGGGTTTGGAGAAACCCCTGGCCCTGCCACCTCCTGCCCTCCTCTTTGGCCCCTCCCCTACTGCCCAGCCCCCTTTCCCCAAAACTGGCCACTGGCCTCTGCAAAGCTGTGCACTCCCGGTGCGCTCGGGAGGGGAGGCGTGCCAGTGCCAAGTCCTCCACTGCCTGGGAGGGTCTGGCACTGCTCCTGGCTGCCGCTGTCTGCAGGCAGGGGAGGGTGGGGTGGAGGTGGGGCAGGGCTCGGATTCCACGGGGAGCAGGGGAAGCAGAGGCGGGGGTGGTCTCCCCTGAGCTGCAGCTCCTGCTGCCCAAGCCCGTCAGCAGTTACACAGCTGCCATCTCCAGCCTGGGTGTGGGGGGCTTGGCGGCCCCACTCCCTGCGAGACAACATTTGCCGGGAAAGACTCCACGACATCAACCACACGAGGTCTCCAGAAACAGGCTAAGGACAGACGGCAAAGGAAGGTCGTTTATGCGGGATCATTACATTGCGGTGCTAATTTGTAGTCCTGAGGTCAAAATGGATAAAAAAGGAAATCGATTTAACAAGCGGCAAGGAAGGAGGTTGGCTGGATAAGGTGAGTTGGTGCGAACGAGCTGCAGCTGACCGACTGTTCGAACTCCATAAACGGCTCTGCAGTCGCTACACCCCCAAGAGACCGGCCGGCGGGATTCACACCCAAGACCCACAGGAAATACCAGGACCCCGAAACTCGGGAGTAAAAGTGCCCACGTGTGGCCGAGTTGGTCAAGGCGATGGACTAGAAAGGCGCCCACGTTCCCGGCCGCCGCTGGCCCAAAGGATTCGCAATCCGCGCTGGCGCAGCCGCACCTGCCCCGTGTTCTCGGACATCCTGACGCTCTTTCCCGGCTGAGTTTGATTTTCCATGAAACTGAAGAGGGGAAATGTCGAAACCGGAGCCGCTAAGGAAGTGGGAGTGAAAATTGCCTCTCCGCGCTGCCGCTGACCAAGGCCTCGGGCACTGATCCCGTGACAGTGGGGACAAAATACTCGGCGGGAGGACCGCGGAGGCCCCGCCGGCACCCAGTTGCCCGTATCTGGCGTGCCAGCTGCTCCTGGCGCGTGGGTTGCCTCTGGACAGAGCCGACGCCCACCGTCATTGGCAGGTGCATCCTGGCTTACCGCCTGTTAGCACACAAACAAGACGGCCTGGGTAGCCGGAGAAATGCTTTCAGCCTGATTAGTGAACACTTTATACCAAGGGACTCAATTCCGGGCAGCCCCTCTGGGTCACTCCTGGGTGGGGCGCGGTAAACATGCTCGTCGCCGGAGCTTTTAGGGCAAAGCCGAGTTGCGGTTTCTGTTCCTCCCAGTGGGACGCGCCTGTGACAGTCCGCGCTCCAAGACGTCTACAGCCGGGGCGAGTGCTTCTTCAGACCCTTTGCTTGCTACTGTGGCAGAGGCCGGCACTCCATGACGCCCCCCAGAGGCCAGCGCGGAGAATGTCATTTGCGCAGCTGCAAACGACAGGCTGCAGAATGGGGCCTGAAAACACGCCGGCCCTGGTTGGCTGGAGAGGATTTGCATGTGTGTGTATGTGTGTGTGTGTGGGGGGGGGTGACTCACAAAATGATGACATAAAACACCATGTTTTTCCAAAAAAACAAAAAATGTATCAGCTGAAAATGCAAACAAGGGACCGGAGCGGGCCCCGGCAGGCAGGTGGCTCACTGGGGCTCCTCCGTGGCTGAGCACCGTGGGCAAGCTGCTGGCAAACACGGGTAAGAGGGGCCGATGCACAGCCACCACCCTAATGGTGACGTGGCGTCCTCAGTCGAAAACATGTGGCTGATGATGAGGTGTGTGTTTGGGATTGGGTGATGAGTGGCCTCTAGCAACTTGGCGTTCATGGTGGGTAGCAGGTGACGGGGAGTCACCCCATTAAAAGAGCTTTCTCAGGCAGAGATCCGAGTCTCTGGGCTGTGACCCAGAGCGGAAGGCGTTAGAAAGGCCACTGGTTCCTGGGAAAGCAGTAGAGGATGCGTCGCACCTGCCAAGTCCTTGGGCCCCTGCACCCATGTGGGAGATCCAGAGGAAGCTCCTGGCTCCTGGCTTCAAATTGGTGCAGCTCCGGCCATTGCGGCCAATTGGGGAGTGAACCAGTGGATGAAAGACCTCTCTCTCTCTCTCTCTCTCTGCCTCTCCTCTCTCTCTGTAACTCTGACTTTCAGATAAATAAATAAATAAATGTTAAAAAAAAAAAAAAAAAGAAAGGCCATTGCTTGTGTCGGCTTTCTTCATTTGAGAGCCTTGTTCCTGGCCCAGCATGAGATGTCCAGGAGGGAAAATATGGCTTCCACGGGTTAGGATGACCCAAGAAGGGCTCCTCCATCACCCAGGGTTGGGGTAATTCAAGGGACGACTGGCAAAGTTGTCAGCAGCGCGCAGGAAAAGTGCGGGATGGGTCAACACCCCAGAGGTAGAATCACTGAGCCACCAGGAGGCACTGCCTACGAACCCTGGAAGGGGAGCGTCGTGGGGGCAGTGACCTTTAGTGGGTGGGCACGCTCGGCGGAAGTAACCCCGCAGGGAGGGCACCAGAGGGGTAACTGCCCCGCCTCCTCGCTCCCTCCCTCCTTCCCGTCTCCCTCGTGACTGGGGCGCCCCACTGCGAGGCTGAACAGGAAGTCATGCGAAGTTGGGCTGTCCTGATCCAGCAGGCAGAGAGCAGGTGGGGGAGAGCGGTGGGCAAATAGAATCTGGCGCCATCCACGCCGGTGCTTCATCCCAGGGCAGATTCCACGGTGCCGAGACAAAGAAGGAGGGGACTGCCGTCAGCCGCAGTGTCCTCGTGGCTCACGTCCATGCAGGCTCGACGTGCCGGACAGAGTGCGCCAGCGATGGACTGAAAGACGCGCACGGCGCTGGCACAGCCCCCGCATCCCCAGCTCATCGCAGGTCCAGGACAGAGGGCTGACGCTGCCTCTCGCGCTGTCCATTTCGTGGGCCCTCCCTCTCTGCTGGCATTGTGCTCTAAAGGGGGGCATTTGGTGGGATGGCCTCAGACATTGTTCCTACGAAATCTAAGGTCTTGTGAATTCTGTTGGCACCCGGTCGCCACAGTATCTCGCTCACAGGGCCGTGAGGTGAGGTGCACTCAGCGGCACCGTGGCTGTACCGTGGCCGTACACACACAGTTCCCTCTGCTGGGTGAGAGTGCTCCGCCCCCTGCCCCCCCCCCCCCCGGCCAACATGGCCACCCACATCTCTGTTCAACGGCACACGAAGCTCCTCAGGGCTCTGCCTTTTTTTTTTTTTTAAGATTTTATTTATTTATTTGAGAGGTAGAGTTATAGACAGTGAGAGAGAAAGAGAGAGAGAGAGGTCTTCCATCCATTGATTCACTCCCCAAATGGTCACAACGGCCGGAGCCAAGCTGATCTGGAGCCAGGAGCCAGGGGCCAGGAGCTTCTTCTGGGTCTCCCATGTGGGTGCAGGGGCCCAAGGACTTGGGCCATCTTGCACTGCTTTCCCAGGCCATAGCAGAGAGCTGGGTTGCAAGAGGGGCAGCTTGGGACTCGAACCAGCACCCATATGGGACGCCGGCACCGCAGGCAGAGATTAACCTACTGCGCCATAGTGCCGGCCCCAGGGCTCTGACTTTTTAAACAGTCACGCTGCTGTGCGCCACCGCTTAGCTGAGTCCCATTCAGTTGTGAGCGTTCTGCGAATTCAGGGATGATTTTCCCCTCTGAGCCTTTGGAAATGTGTTCTTAAAGCATCTCAAATTGTCAGATGTGACAAAGTCAATAGTGCATAAAAGGAAAAACAGCTGGAAGGGAACGCGCTAAGTCTGCGAAGTCAAAAGGAAGACAAAGGAACAAGGAGAGAAGGAGTCATGAAGATGCGCACGAAGGGCTGAGCCTCCACCTGCAGCGCCGCATCCCACACGGGCCCCAGTTTGTGTCCCGGCTGCTCCTCTTCCGATCCTGCTCTGCTGTGGCCTTGGAAGGCAGTGGAGGATGGCCCGAGTGCTTGGACCCCTGCACCCACATGGGAGACCCGGAAGAAGCTCCTGGCTCTTGGCTTCGGATCAGCCAAGCTCCACCCATTGCGGCCATTTGCGGAGTGAACCAGCAGATGGAAGACCTCTCTCTCTCTCTGTCTCTCCCTCTCTCTGTTACTCTGCCTCTCAAATAAATAAATCTTGAAAAAAAAAAAAAGAAAAGTACACAACTCAGTGTCAACAACAACAAAAACAGAAGAAAAAAAATCTAACCAAACCAAAAAAAATCAACAAAACCCAAAATGGGTTCTTTGGAAAGACTCCAGCAACATTGAGGAAGATAAAAGGAAAGGATTAGAAATGAGAAAAAACCATAATTACAGATAAAGTAGAGATGTAAAAGATGCTGGCTTAAGAAACAGCCATCAAAAGCTTAGTGTACTACATTTTAAAATTTAGATTAAGCAAAGAGAACAGTATAATTTTATTTAAAAAGAAAATCAGAAAAACTCACAGCCTGAATTTCCCCTAAATTATCAAATCAACCGAAACACAATCTTCTTTCACTGGGCACTGACGGTTTTATGGCAAATTCTACCCAACGTTCAATAATAAATCCTGCTAATGACATAGACACCTTCCAGAAAAGACAGTAAAGTACCTCCATCCACACAGAACATCCTGGAAGCCTGTGTCAGTCTGTTCAGTGCTTTAAGAACAGAAAAACACAGCCTGGGCGGTTGATAAGCATTGGAGATTTGCTGCCCCCAGTTCTGGAGGCCGAAGTCCAGCACGGAGCCCGGACTCAGCGTCTCTGCTTCCAAGCTGGCGCCGTGAACGGTCTCGGGATGGAGAGGTGGGCACAGAGGGCAGCGAGTCCTTCCCCAAGAGACTTTGGACCACAGCATTAAATCCATCAGGGGCTACACGCCTCCCAGGACAC